TCAAAGACCACCCACATATCTCGACCACTGCTGAAAACCAGGAAGTTGAGCAAAGGGGGAAAAGCCCCAAACAAAACAAAACATCCTCTCAGCGTTCGAAAACCAAGGCCACCAGATGGAAATTTTTGAGCTTTTCTCAAAAGTGAGCCTCCCAGGCTACCTCTGCTTAGAGCATCCCTTTACTTACAGTCCACACATACTTCTAACAAGTTTGGGCACGTGATTTTCCAGCGCACTGTAGATCAGAAGCAGCAGATTAGAAGGGGAGAAGTTGCTAGCATAAGCAATGTGAGGACAGCAAAATGTGATGGGCTGTAAGTCAAGATAAAGAATAACTACTACCCAAAAAACTGGGCAAAAGAACTTACTAAAAAATTATAAAGCACCACACAAAAACGTTCTCTATGTATAAAATCTGTTGTTGTTGAGTGCCTACTTTTTGTCTGAGGCCAGGCATTGTAGAAGGTGAAGACATTTAAAATATGCTTCCTCTCAGAGCTCAAGGGTGCTTTGGCTCTTGACTACCATGGCTTCTCTTTATCAAAAGCAGTTGATTGGGACACAGCAAGGAGGTGTTACAGCAGTAGGTTAGATTCTAGCTGCCTGGAATTAACCCATGCTTTCCTCATCTCTGACCACTGGCAGGCAGGGACCATCTGGTTCCTGATTTGTGCCAAAATCCCAGCCTGAGGTCCTTCCACATGAATTGCACGTTTTGCAGCCCTGCTTGATCCTACAGGAATCAGGAGAGAGTTAGAGCAGCTGTTTCTGGGCCAGAAGGTGTCTGAATGTAATATTTTTAGGACCCTTTCTTGGACCTTCCTTCGTCCCATTAAGCAAGAATGGGAACCTATAATTCATAAGGGCATTTCTTCACTCATCATTTTGGAGAAAAGCTTTTAGAAACAGCAATAAAACCATGCATGTATTTGTCTCCTAAGTAACACAAATGGTCTTAGGTTCATAAGTATTCAACATATGTATTTGAAATGAATGCCTAAGTGAATAAAGACACATTCTGGGGTCGTTCTGCCACAGATATTCCAGAGATACGGCCATAGAGGAAAATATTTTATTCTTGTGATCCATTTTAAAAATACTGACTAAAAAAAAAAAGAAAATATTTGAGGTCAAAGAGTAAGAAAAACAAGAACACAAATACTTCGGAAATGTTATAGCCTCTACACAACAAAATAAGTAGTCAATCTAGTAAATTCTGTTTTATGAAGTCAACTTACTCATAAATGAAACAATAGCTTATAGGAAAAAATTTTCAATTGAATTTTTTCCCCCAAAACATTGACTAACTTTTAAATTCTGTATGTGGGACCTACAAGAGATTTCAAGCACAGAGATCCATATTTTAGTACCTTGTGACTCGGGATATGCAGTGGGGGAAAATAAGTAGAAGGAACCCCAAAATTTCTATTGCATTTGCCGTCACACTGAACAACTGCCCATAGTGAACTGGCAATGACTCACTATCCAATGGACCAGAGAAATTAATGCCATAACAAAGGATCATTTCGTTGATCCTTGTGGCCAAATATATGACTCTCTCTCACTGTCGAAAGGTAAGGCAAAGTAATGAGAAGAATTCTGTAAAACCACAACACCACTATTAGTTCACCAACGACTTGTCCTTAATTTTTTCAGGCACTTCAATATATGTAGTTAAATAAAATAGGGCAAAGGATTGCAAAAGCATATAATATGATCTACATTTTCCTTCCTCTCCCTCCTACTCTCCCTTACCTCCTTGCTGCGCACCCCCCAACCTCTTCTCCCTCCAAGTAAGCGGATAGCATTTCTCCTAAAATCCATTTTGCAAGTTCATTCAAAAGCAATCCTTCTTGCCTTTGATATACAATATACCCATAAATAAATGCAAACTACGGACACAATTGGATTTTAGGACCATATTCTATGTTCCCTTTCATTCATACACTTTGCATGTCATAAACTCCCACTTTCTTTTTTGTAATTTCTCTCTCTCTGATTGAAAGGTCTACCTTACTTTCTTCACGATGGCTATTCATTCCCTAGTAACTCATCCTCAGAGATCATCTTAGAATCTTATTTGTTAGCATTTTTTAAACATTAACCGTGTGCCAAGTGATGGGGTTGGGGAAGGTGATGATTTTCCATTCCCCCCAGAGATGTCTCTCATGTAGTTTTCACACAAATCCTCTTAGGTAGGTTCTATAATTACCTTCATTTTACTGATGAGAAAACTGAGGCTCAGATAGACTTAGTATCTTGTCAATGGTCCCTAAACCCTCGGGGAAGCTGGGTTCAGGACCCACATAATTCTAATCTCCAGCTCTTAATAATACTACATTGCCTCCCATGCATATTTTCTCCTTGAATTTAATTCAGCCAATGTGGAGCATCAATAAAAGAATATAGGTACATGAACAAACTTTCAAAATATTACTTAAATAGTCGAAAAGTTCTGGCTATACTGCAATAGTATCTGGGTATGTAATGAGTATTTCTTCTATTGACCTAATAGTGATAGACTACTCATCAGCTACCTCTTATCACTGGTCACAAATTTTGCTTTTTAATTGATCATATTTTAGAATAAAATAAAAAATCCATACGCTTTACTAAGGTAGAAGTGTCAAAGAATTTAATAGCTAGATCGGAGGTCCTCTCAGAGAGAGCAGGGCTTTGGTTTGTTGTTCAGGCAAAGGAGAGGCTGCTGAGAACATGGGGACGAGACAGCAAAAGGGACAGTAAGGAGACTCTGAAAAAAAAAGGGAGAGTAGAATTCGGACTTGCTTACTAGAGAATGTGGGGTTGTGCCAGAAGGATGCAGGCTAAGAAGGGTCATCACACTGAGAGAGGCTGAGCTGCTATGTGGGGTGTGGGAGCCAGGGCAATGCTTCCTGTGATACACATTTGTTTGCAGGAATCGAAATACGTTTTTAAGTGTGTGGTGTGGTATGTGATATGTTCCTTGCCTTGTCTTTCAGATCATGAGTAAAAGTTTGGTTACTGTGATAACCTTGAGTTCATGGGTGCTTGGATGGCAGATGGGCTGCAGGATGGGGCCGAGGAGAAGGGACTTTATGCTCTTTCCGTGGACACCAGAATGGTGATAAAGGAATAATCACAGGGAATGAGAAAATACCTTCAATGCAAGTAGAAAATAGAGCAGTGGTGATCCTGAAATTATAATCCCTCAGAGAATTATTGGAAAGAGCTTTCGGATTTTACCAGAATGGGGATTTGAATCAATTTATCCTGTTCTGAGGGCTAGGGAACCCTACACTTTGATTACACTTCAGAAACTCAACCATCTAACATTTTTTTGGTAAAGAACAATGTTGTTTGTTAGAACCAGGGAACAGAGAATGACATAGCCACTTATTGACAGTAAATTTGAATATATCAGCATGTGCAGTCAACTAATTTGCTGACTTAAAGACAGCCTGATGAAATTTTTTCCCTGTTAAACCTATTATTGCCTATAATGAAAGACTCTATATGCACTAATCACAACATACAGCCTTACATTTGATCACAGCTTCTAAAAGTCATGATGCAGGGATTTTTAGTTACACTCAACACATTTTTCTTTCAGAAACCTGATTGGCTGTTCTAGATGCCATGAATGGTATATAATGAGCTCTTAGTTGGAAGGAATCTAAAGGATCAAGCAGCATCCCTGAGTTTCAGACAGAAACTTAATCTGAGTGCGCGCATTCAAAGGTATGTGGATTTTATTCATAATTTGGTATCCTTTCTATCAGACTTATTCTTTTTCTGCATTTCATGGTCAAAAGATGCCAATTAGACTCTGATTACTTAAATGAATTATATTACTTTCTAATGGAGCAAAATGTTTGTCTATATTTCTTTAAATTTTAGGTCCAGAATCCCGAAGCACTTTTCAGGGCCAAATTTCACAGCAAAATATTTATTTTAATTACTTATCAATCAAGGTAAAAATAATCTTTCACAGGCTGTGATCCATTTCTTGGAAAAACATCTCATTTAATTCCATTAGATAGAACCATCAACTGAATGATTTCCTTCATTAATTCAAACTTTAAAAAACAGATTTAGGAGGTAAAAATGTCAGTGGACTTCTCATAGCCAGCATTATTACACTTGATATTCACTTCCTGTGCAAAATTTAAGGCCTTTCTTCTGATACTTCTCAAACTTAGTCAATAATTTACACCACAAAGCAATGTATTTTAGGATGGCTTATTTTGCTTCATGTTCCAAGGGTCTTATTTGCAGAATAATTACAGTGCAGTGTCAAACAAAAGGAAGATGTCATTAACTAAATATGGAATCTTTCAAATAAAAGGCATTCATAATTCATGGAATAATCACAGAATATTAGCACCATCCTCTCCCTTCCCTTCAACCACATCTTTTGCTCCACATCTGGAGCTCAGGGATATGTCACCTGAGGGTCTTGCCTGAAGTCCTACGGGTCAGAACACCTGAAACTAAATTCCACTCCTTCCTTATTCTATTTCCTCAGATGATTGGTCTTTGTTTTTAACAGTAGCAGTGCTCAGGTGGACGGTACCAAAAAACATTTCTGTGCCTCCTGGTTCTAAAAGTATCAGATACTGTGCACCTTGATGATCTCCTCAACTTTTAGAGCCAACTCTATTCTTTTAATCATTAATTATAAGCTACATTTAGCTTCTATGACTCTACAGGCTATATAGGTATAGGAAAATGGCATGCAAAGTCGTGTACTGATAGATCATTTATGTTCCTACAACTTGTTCAGCTCTCAACCTAAATGAAAAGCATCTTTATTACCACTGTAATTCCAGAAACAATAAAATGGGTTCAGAACTGGAAACCATATAGGAATGAAGTAACCTCACAAGGAATGGTCCTATCCTTTTAACCAGCAACAGACTAATATGCGTCATGTGGGTTTTATGAAGCATTAATTACGGCCATACTTGAGAAGAGATAAGAAAAGTGGGTGTTGACTTATATTTCAGGGCCATCAAGAAATGGGGACCTGGATTTTGTTTGCCTGCCTCCTGGGAGCAGCCTTCTCTATGCCCGTGAGTAAAACACCCCCTTCATAAGTCAATGTCCAATTTCACAAGCTTGGAAGTAAAAGTCTGCCCCACAGTTGGTAAACGTTAGGGTTTAAAACAGTACAAGATCAGATATCCTCAAATGTCTCTGTGTTTAAGAAACACTATGAAGAACTTGTAATTAAAAAAAAAACGGATTCCCAGATGCCAAAGATTCTGATTCAGTACGGCTGGGGTGGGACCAGGAGATTCTGATGGGACACTCAGATTGTAAATAACATCACCCATCTCTAGATGGAGGAAACTTTTGGAAGGGACCCTTGAAAGGCCTCCAGAGAAAGTACTTAATCAGCCTTAGGCGAATATTACAAAAATGTCAGTTTTCTCTAAAACCCAATTTCTCACAAGATCCAAATATTTTCGTGCTCTCCAAACTCCACTGCCGTTGTCCTTCAGAGGGTAAGATTTTGTGTTAGGAATTCCTTTCTTGACCCACCTCCCCGTTCTGAGAGGCCTCATCCTTTTGGGCGCACCTGTTAAGCACAAGACTTCCGTGTGGTTGTCTGGAATCCAACCTATGCTCAATACATATGGCTATATTTTACATTCAAACGTACCAAGGACCAGAAAGTCTGACCAATTCTCTCTAAACACAGACACAGAAGAGGTTAGGTCACATGCAGGCAAGGCAGGATCCATCTGCTTTTCCGGTGGCCTAAAGAGCAGTTGATACAACCAGAAGCCAGCAAAGCTTGAATATCTACTTCCTCTCTTCCTCTCTCACCCATAAGACCAAGATTCTGTGCTCTGCCTTCCTGAAATCCTACATTGTGGCAATTCCTAGTCCCCTGAGGGCCCCTGCATTACAAATCCAGTCCCTTTTCCACTCCTCAGTTCAACACCCCTATTCTCTGAGGGCTTCTATCAAGAAGACAGAGGAAAGGCAGTTAACTAAAACTAAAATAATTCACATTCAGATGAGAGGAATAAATCCTCTTATGAAATACGAGCATTTCAAGAGAATAGAGCCTTAATCAACTCGCTGCCTGGGGGGGGATGGTCTGCACGCTTCTCTCTCCTCTCCCTCCTCCCTCTCCCACACTCCAGGGCCAACCAGAATTCCACAATGCGGGCATCAATCACTTGGCCTCCACTTCTGAAAAGACAGAGAGTCCTGGTTTAGATAATTATTCAGGTTGTTCTTTATTTGAGCTTTAAAATTTTTCTGCCATAGAAACATCGACAGAATAATAAAAAGATGACAGAATAATGAAAAGAATCGGCCAAAACTTCATAAATCAACTCTTTCATTTTCCATGGGACTTATAATGTTTCCACTTTACCACACCCATCTTGTTTACACATTCATCGATAATTCACGCTCAGTCGTTTTTGTTGTTGTTGATGTGCTATCTACTTTGCATGCCAATTATGAGTAATCTCGTTGGTACTTAAGCACTTATCCACCTCCTGATCTATAAGGGAAGGTTTGTGAGACAATTCTCTTCTTGCTGGTATTTTCTAATTGTGTAAGAGAAACATATCATTCTTCCCAACATGGAGTGAGTGTTGAGAAATGGAATATTGCCTGCCATACCAGTAAACAAAGGATGTCACAATCCTCAGGGATTGCAGCCACCGCCACGGTGAGCTGGTGAGCCCCGAGGGAACTCAGGAAGGGAAGAATACCTGCCATCTAGCAGCCATCAGACTGCAGCCACTCCCCGCGGCGAGCCCTGAGGAAACTCAGGATATGAAAACACAGGATACTGGCCCCAGATAGCTGAGGTGCCTATCAAAGGAAGCTTTTCAGCGAGCCCAGACTCTTGCATCTTCCCATACATAGAAAAGCGCTAAATTCCTTAACTTGAGATGTCTGGTTTTGGTTAATTAACAATAATCTTTCGACGTTCAGACTACCTGCCCTTTGTTGCAAAACTTCTATATATCCTGGCTCCCCCCTTGCCTCCTTGGAGCAGTTTTCTCAGGGTTACTTGAGATGCTGTCTCCTGGGCTTGAAGTCCTAAAAATTTCTGCCGAGTACAACAGAACTCTCAACTTTTAGATTGTGAATATATTTTTAGTCGACAGTTGCATCAAGAAATGAAATGAGAGAGTAGGATAGAGCAGGATTCATTGACAGCATGGCTGGAGGGGTGTCTGAAGATCACTGGAGGATAAATGTGTGCTGGCTTCTGCCCCCAGGTCATTTAGCTGTTCTGGATCTTTTTAAAATAAGAGGGCTCCTCTCCTACACAGCGTACATGTTCAAACTAAAAGGAGACCTCAAATATATTCTGCACTATATAGATTTTTAAAAAGTAGCTTCAGTCTGTCTTAATGTGAAAATTGCATATTGACTTAATCTCTTCCTCTCTCTCTCTCTCTCTCTCTCTCTCTCTCCTTCTTTCTCTCCCTCTCCCTCATTCTTTTTCTTCTCCTTTCCCCCTCCCTATAAAAGCTACCACCTCATCCTGGGCACCCTGGTTATATCAACTTCAGCTATGAGGTAATTTTTCTCTTTACTAATTTTGACCATTGTTTGAGTTAACAATGCCCTGGGCTCTGTAAAGCATAGCGTGTTGATTCTTCATTCAAGATGTTTCTCAGTCCCACTTTTTCAGTTCTCACTACCAGCTTCCTGGTTTAAGCCCTGATGGGTCACCTCAAGCCTGCATTGCCCCAGAACACTCCTACCTGGCCTCTCTGACTCAGTTTCTCCTCTTACATGGCTATAAAATTTATCCATCATGAACTACCACTCAGGGGGACTGCATAGTAGGGCAGAAATGAACTGTGGCTGAACACCTTTGTTCTACCCCAGCCTGTAAAACATGGGGAATCAGGTAAGACGTTATTTAAGATCCTTTCCAGCTGGAAAACTCCTGCTTCTAAGATGTTCATACTCTATGCATCTCCTTCATTTGTCTTTACTGAAATATGAGCGACCGAGCGGTCTGTGAGACATTCTGTAGAGCAATGGAAAGCATGAGATTTCTAGAAATCGGGTGTGAGGCTCTCCTCAACCCCATACTAAGCATGTGACCTTGGGCAAATCATTTTCTCTCTCTGGAACTTTAGTTTCCTCATCTGGAAAAGGGAAATAAGAATAATACCCACACTTCAAAATGTTATTTGGGGAGCAAAGTAATTCAGCAATATAAAAGGTGCTTTCTTAAGTATAACTTGAACAAGGTTAAGAATTGTTCGTTGTATTGATATCAAATGTTGTACACGAAGGAGTCCCCGGGCCTGACGTGAACTGAATACATAATGTTTAGAAAGGAAGGAAACTCTTCCTTCTTTCATACGTTCAATGACAATCCATGAGTTTGTTTACTCATACAAAGTGAGGAAAAGTGTCAAAAAAATATTTGAGGCAAGATTTTCTGTTAAACCTTAAAAGGTTGACATATTTGACCTGAAAACCTGTGTTTCTAGGATGAGGGACAGTGTTTCTGCCTCCTTTATCTGTTTCATTGTGACATCAAATCAAAACAGTATATAATTAATGTTATATGACATTAATTTTCCATTTTGTTTTTCTCTTGCAAAGAACAGCAGGGGCCAGGGAATTAAACAGACTTACTACTTTTGTAACCTCTGTCGAGCTCATGTACCTCTTTAACTCTCCGTGACCTTGTCTGTGAAAGTGAGGGTGAAGATACTTGCCTCAGAGTATGTGGGAAAACATGAAAAATGTGTGTCATGGATGTAAGGTAGAGCCTCACACATAGGGAGCACCTGACAAACGTTTACCTTATTCTTTCCTCCATAGAGCGTATTTTCAGGTTGTCCGTATTGACGGGACTGCGTCAGTGAGTGTATGTTTCACGTCACTAAATCAAAACAAATGTATTCTAATGTCTCTTTCTCCTAAGGTGCTTACCCCTCTGAAGTGGTACCAGAACGTAATAAGACACCCGGTACGTAGATTATTTTTGTTGTTCTTTATTCCCTTAAAATATCAAGCATGCATTTCAATTCCCTTTTAAGTGAGGTAACATATCTATGCCACATATAGACACTAATGGGAAATCTAGTTTGTAAACTGTCATATCTATGTACACAGTTAGAAATTCTTGCACAGGGAAACATGAATAAGTGTTAATATTGTCACAATGACCAAGAAAACACTGCTACTTCTCCAGCTGGAAGTGCTGACTGAAAAAAAAATGCAGAACATGAGTGTTGTGAGTTAATTTTTATTTGGGACAAGGTGAGAACTATAGCCCAGGAGACACATTTCAAAGGGCTCTGAGAAACTGCTCCAAAGAAGTAGTGGGGAAGGTCAGTATATATGTGATTTTGGTGAAGAGGAGTACATGCAATCGAGCACAGTTTTTGCAGAAGGTTGCTGCAAGTCATGAGGAGCAGACATGAAGGATTTCAGTGCTTTTCTAGATGTGAGGAGATTGAAGAACTGGGCTCATAAAATCGTCTCCTGAAAAGAGCTAACCATCTGAAAACCTGTTCTGCCAGTTTTTCCCAGAGCACAGAGTGGCTCATTCCTGATCTCCACCCTGAACTTCTTGCAGGGGGTGTTGAAGGTCAGAAGCTGCAGTGGCTCATAATTTAATCCTTGTAGAAGCAGATGGCAAGTGACAATTTGTAGGTGACAGATGTCAATGGAGCTGATGGTAAACCTGATTCTTTGTTTCTCACCAGTACCCGTCCTACGGTTACGAACCCATGGGTGGCTGGCTGCGTCACCAAATCATTCCCGTGGTATCCCAGCAGGCTGCCCTGCAGCCTCATCACCACTTCCCCATGGTGCCAGCCCAGCAGCCCGTGGGCCCCCAGCAAACCATGATGCCAATTCCTGGCCAGCACTCCATGACTCCAAGCCAACCCCACCAGCCACACCTCCCTGTGCCCGCCCAGCAGCCCGTCCAGCCACAGCCTCACCCGCCCCTGCTGCCCCAGCCGCCTCTGCCTCCGATGTTCCCCATGCAGCCCCTGCCCCCCATGCTTCCTGACCTGCCTCTGGAGGCTTGGCCCGCAACAGACAAGACCAAGCGGGAGGAAGCGGTGAGTACACCCTGAAGTCGCTGCAACACCTACGAAAACGGTAAAGCGAGACTAGCCCCCAGAGTTCTCAATTCCCACACAATCCAAGGCCTGGAGTTTCAGTAGCAACAGTCTGATGACTCTGTGAGTCCAAGCCTGTACTGTAAGTTTCTATTATAAATGCGTTTATCTACATGGCTTAGTAATTAAGACCGTAGCTTTCACGGTGGGTTTAAATTCTATAATTACTTTGAATTCCTACCAGAATATATATTATTGAAACCTGTTAATTTTAAGGACAACACTATAAGGGAATATTAGTTCTCCTTATCTTTCAAAGGTTTGACCATCAAGAATAGGCTAGAATTGCACTGAAGATTTTTAAAAAGGGTAATTTTTGACAGTGAGGGGATGCAAATATTTGAACGGGTAGGTGGGAAATCTCTTTAAGAACCTAAAAGAAAATTACTTGTCTGAAGTGGTTTTTAATCCAACCTGGAGGAGGCTAAGCTAGACACATTGCTAGATTCCTTTTTCAGTGCTGGGATTCTACAGATTAAGCTTTTAGCAAGAAGTCTTCACAATTAAGCACAAAATATCCTTTCATTACAGAAAGCTCTTGCAAATGAGTGGGAAATAGTCAATAAAATAAGTGACCCTTATCCGTATATATAAATCCTTACTTGTGTGTATATGAGATTATATAATTCTACTGCATGTATGAATTCAAATGTAATTCCAAGTTATAAATGCTATCGATGATCTTCTACTGAGAAAGTGAGGAGTGAGGGAGAAATGACCTGGATGGGAAGCCAGGATATCTGGGCTCCTGTTCCGGCTTTGCACCCAAACAGGAGATGGTATTGCACAAGTCACTTCAAATTTATGGGTGTTTTCCCTTCTTTAAAATGAGAGAAAGCAACTAAATCAGATAATTTTCAAGCCTCTAAGAACAGATACCATAGTTTTCCAATAAAATTATATGTTATATATGGCTTCAAAATTATGGGCATATTTGTGGAGAATACAGAGCATATTTGAAAATTGACTGTATCCCAAATAAGCTGGTGCCAATAGTGGATTATTCTACTCTAAGGCACATGTTCCCTGTTTGTACAGAAAATGCATTTATTTATCTCTTTATTAGTAGTTAAGGCCATGAACTTTATAAACATTGCCAGAGCTATTTATGGAAAGGTGACTTCGGGTAGGTAGTTTGAACTCTTTAAAATTCCCATGTAAAATTAGAGTATAATAATAAATGCTGGAGAGGGTGTGGAGAAAAGGGAACCCTCTTGCACTGTTGGTGGGAATGTAAATTGACACAGCCACTATGGAGAACAGCATGGAGGTTCCTTAAAAAACTAAAAATAGAACTACCATACGACCCAGCAATCCCACTACTGGGCATATACCCTGAGAAAACCAAAATTCAAAAAGAGACATGTACCACAATGTTCATTGCAGCACTATTTACAATAGCCAGGACATGGAAGCAACCTAAGTGTCCATCGACAGATGAATGGATAAAGAAGATGTGGCACATATACACAATGGAATATTACTCAGCCATAAAAAGAAATGAAATTGAGGTATTTGTAGTGAGGTGGATGGACCTAGAGTCTGTCATACAGAGTGAAGTAAGTCAGAAAGAGAAAAACAAATATCGTATGCTAACACATATATATGGAATCTAAAAAAAAAATAAAGGTTCTGAAGAACCAGGGGCAGGACAGGAATAAAGACGCAGACGTAGAGAATGGACTTGAGGACACGGGGAGGGGGAAGGGTAAGCTGGGACGAAGTGAGAGAGAGGCGTGGACATATATACACTACCAAACGTAAAATAGAGAGCTAGTGGGAAGCAGCCGCATAGCACAAGGGAGATCAGCTCGGTGCTCTGTGTCCACCTAGAGGGGTGGGATAGGGAGGGTGGGAGGGAGGGAGACGCAAGAGGGAGGAGACATGGGGATATATGTATATGTATAACTGATTCACTTTGTTATAAAGCAGAAGCTAACACACCATTGTAAAGCAATTATACGCCAATAAAGATGTTAAAAAGAATAATAAAATAAAATTAGAATATAAATAGTGATAGCTTCTTAGAGTTGTCTTATGGAAAATAAAATAAAGTGATGAGTTCAGCGCCAGGCATGCAGAAAGTACTCAACAAAAAGCAGCAACTGTTATTTTATTATTGAATAATAGTTTTAAGCGTTCTGAAGGCAGGGGCCTCCATCCTGGACACCTCGTATCTAAAGACAGTGACATAACAAAGCAAGTTTGAAAATTATAGAGTTCAACTTCAATGGCTGTAATATTGTTTTGGCAAAACTGAAGCCGTATGTGTGACTGTACCTGATACTCACTAGGAATATTTGTCAATTGTTTTACTTGCTCTTTTTGCTTTTTTTTCCCCCAGGATTGAAAGATCAGAAAATGAGAACAGGTATTCCAGTTGCTTTCAGAATGACACAAGAACACAAGGAACGATTTGTTCCTACCATCACTTAGCAAATTCTGTAACTGAAAAGTACCTTTAGCAAACAATAAAATGTTTGAAAGACCATTCATGTCTTTGTGTTGAATTAAACTTAAAATTTCATGTCACTTGAAAGAAGATGTAATAAATGGCTCTTCTTGAATAAGACAGGAGCTGCTCATTTACACCTACAAGTTGACAATTCTGCATGCAAATGAGGACTATATTTCTTTGTGGAGAAAATTAAAATTACACCATCTCAAATCTTTTAAAAAACAGAAGTTTATACTGTAGTTGTAATAGTTGATAACGTGAAAAATTATGAACACGTATAGTCACTGAACCTGAACCAAAAGAAGGGAAGTTTACACGAAGAATTCTTTACATTAAAAAAGATAAGATTTTAGGATAAATCCAAGGAGAAATATGCCAAGACACATATTAATCAAACTGTCAAAAATTAAATACAAAGAAAACATATTAAAAGCAGCAAGGGAAAAACAAATAACACACAAGGGAATCCCCATAAGGTTAACAGCTGATCTTTCAGCAGAAACTCTGCAAGCCAGAAGGGACTGGCAGGACATATTTAAAGTGATGAAGGAGAAAAACCTGTGACAAAGCGAGAGAGAGGCATGGACATATATACACTACCAAACGTAAGGTAGATAGCTAGTGGGAAGCAGCCGCATAGCACAGGGAGATCAGCTCGGTGCTTTGTGACCATCTGGAGGGGTGGGATAGGGAGGGTCGAAGGGAAGGAGACGCAAGAGGGAAGAGATATGGGAACATATACATATGTATAAATGATTCACTTTGTTATAAAGCAGAAACTAACACACCATTGTAAAGCAATTATACTCCAATAAAGATGTATAAAATAAATAAAAATAAAGTCTTTATTGAATTAAAAAAAAGCCCAATTAAGCACTACAGAGCATATTACAGAAATATTTGATGAACAAAAAAAAAAAAAAAAAAGATAAGATTTTGAGAAACATTTCTATTACAAAACAAATTAAAACTTGGAACGCTGCCTTTACACTACACCACATTAGTAACCAAACTCTGGTCTTGCGATCTATCTCATTCTACTGAAAGTGATTTTTTGATGAAATTATGTGGTACGTATAATGATGTACTGAATTGTAAATTATTGAGGTAGTTTTCCTAAGAAAACTTCTACGAAATGGAGCTTTAAATAGAGAATCACAGGGATTTTAATACAAGTCATTTCTTTCACTTCATCATCTTTAAGATGATAAATTCTACTGTACAGTCTTCAAAATGTTAACAGATGCATAAAATGGACTCAATACAAGTTTCCTTTCCCACTTATGTTTATATTTGAATCCTTTTTCCTCCTACACCCGAACAGAATTGTAAACAGTCTTTTTAGGGTTTATATTACACAGTACCCACAGTAACTTTATTCTAATACCTTTATGATTAAGGCCCCTTAATCATTTTCTGGAATGAATAAACATAACTTTACTGGGAGGGTGTTGATATTCAAACAAATAACTTGATTTTAAAGAATTCAGAGTCAATAAAAAGGCAGGAAAGCTCTTAATCAATTGGCATAGGCCAATTCTAATCAATTTAGTAAATATTTATTCATCACCTTTTAGGGCAAAGCACTATTCCATGTCCTGATAAAAATGGTAAGTCCCCATCCTTAAGGAATCTAGAATCTACCAAAGAGATAAAATAAGCTCACAGATAATGATAAGAGAAGGCCTAATACTATTAACACTGTGACAGAAGTATAGTCAAAATGCCCTGGCAAATGTGGCAGACATCGTTAGCTAGGTGTGCAACACCTTTCCTCACCACTCCTTCCTTGTCGGCTGTGCTGGAATTAATCCGAGCATCGGGCCTTCCACAAACTCAGGAGAGAGGAGCTCCCTCCCCTGTCCCACGGAACGCATGTTCGCTCCTCCAGTTACCATATCCATACCAAATGCGGCATCTGTTTCCCTTGCTAGTGACTGATTTAGGGATTGGTTGTGGTGGAACTTAAACAATGAATGAGGCCAAAAGGGAAGTCTAGTAGGAGAGGAGGAGCTTCTGGGGAAAAGAATTACCCTCTAATTTAAGATGTATACATACATGCTAGGAAAAAGTGCTGTCCTGTCTTTGGATCTATTCGTTGGAGGATGTGATGCCTAGAGTTGTGTCTGCCATCTTGTGACCAGGAGGGGCAAGTGGCAAGGCAGAAAGCCCCTAGGTCGTTGGTGGCAGCATCGTGTCCCTGAATTAACCAACCTTGGAACCACCTATCTCTAGATGAATGATACACACTCTATTTCTATGCTAGTGTCTTTCAGTTGTGGGTCACAATTGATTAGTGGGTCATGACATCAGTATCAGGACCCCTATCATTTATGATGTGCCAGCAAACTTTCTCTTCCAACAATGTAAAGCTTCTATGGCCAGGACTAAGGAGAATTATTTTGTCAATGACTTTCCTGAAAAAAACAATCCGATAGGAAGATAGATAGAAATACATATCCTGGTGTATTCTCCAAAATATATGCCTCCACCATACTCTGCCTTCCACAGCTCACGAAAATATTGCCATTATGTTTACTCCTACTGAGAAACATTTCAAGGGTGTAAGGAATGATGTTACTCGAAGACTGTGTGTGAT